AACATATTTAAATGTAGGACGTTATGAATCCATTTTTGAATGCATGCTAAATGTTATCAATAACGATTAGCTTTTTTTCTTTCTTAAAATGTTTTATACCTTGGAATCAAATAAACTGGGTTATCCAAATTTAAGAAACCATTTAGAAAGGTATTTCCCTTATAATTTTCTTTCTGTAAAGCTTTTATTTCATTAAAAATACATTAAAGAATGCACTACAAAACTGTCATTATACTGCAATCATGCGAATTAAGTGTAAATTTAAGAAAACTTATCTCATTTGACCATGATGACCTAGGAATCTATCATGACCCTAATCAATACCAATATGGTAATGCATTTTCTGTATCCGTTTTAGATTTACACCGGATTTTTTTTAACAATGAACAAACCCTACCTATTTTTGTATAAATACCTGTGTTCAGGGGTTTGTAATTGTCTTTGAAAAAAAATCCTGATATTCTGTCTTTAAGATTTACATATATTATCATCCATGTGTTATAATTATCTATAATTTAAATTGGTAATTGATTTTTAGAGGAAATTGAAAATTTAATCTCATTATACACAAATAGACAGTTTAACTTATATGTTCACCTCATTTTAACCACATAATTGATCTAACGCAAAAGACTGTATATAATAATATCTGCTACTATGGGAGACAACTCCTTCGTGTGAGAGATAAAATCATTTTACTATACAGAGAGAATAAACATGTACCTGTATCACATTTAGTATTGGAGCTGTATAAACATTGTAAAAGCTATATTTCCACTGCATCTTACAAGTATTAGTGTAATTCAACGTACTGTAGATAACCATGTTTGTTCTTTTTATATGTACATTATCATGTTTTGTATATGACAGTGTGTTGCCCCGGCCATGTTTAATACCTGTTCTGGCTTTCCCTTCTACACGCACATATATCTCTCGATGTTATCATTTTCAAAATTGACATTTGGTGGGGTTCGTGATGCTAAGCTTTTCATGTTCTATGTTGTGTATTGTAGACAGTTGTTTGTCTTTTGGCCGATTTTCGTTTTTTTTTCGCATGTTTTGTCAGCATCCCGTATCCCGCTTATCAACGCTATAATAGCGCTTGTAATTTCACGTGTCCCAGTCGACTTCGCTTCCCGTTTTCACGCAAAATAATTTGACTTTGAAGTTTCACGCTTACAAAAAAATCGGCCAAACCCTTAGACGCTTAGACTCCAATGAGACCCACTTTTTAATGTTCAGATATTTCCATTATTTGTTGTTGTTATTGCCAAGTTTATTTTCATTATTATATTTTTTGGCTGTCAAATGTTATGAACTTAATGAATAGGTGAACAAAAGTGAGGCTTTTCGGTTTGGGTTCAATTCAGGTGGTCAATTTAAATTTGTTTTTACCATTCTCAAATCATTTATAATATATGATTTTCATAAAACTTGACAATTATCTCCATTATAAATAAAAATAAGAAGATGTGGTACGATTGCCAATGAGACAACTTTCCACCATAGACCTAAATACATAGAAGTTAACAACTATAGGTCACCGTACGGCCTTCAACAATGAGCAAAACCCATACCGCATGGTAAATTGTTTTTAAAAAATGCAAGATTTTCAGGTCTATCGCTGTTAAATTTAGTATTTTTAATTAATAGGTGAAAAAATAAGACTTTTCGTATTGAGATAAAATGTTCCTTCATTTCTGAGAATTTCTATACTGACTTTTTTTTAAATCACCTGAGATTTTCATTAAATTTGACAATTATCTCAAGCATAATCTGTTCTTACAATTTGCAAAATGTTCCTTCATTTAGATACTGCTCTTTGATGATATACTGTTTGTAAAATAGGAAAATTATATCATTCTATAAATATAAAAAAGGTTGAGTCCGCCATTTTCCTCACAAAAAATGTGTCTGCCGTGCCAAAATTCCTAGCAAAAATGAAAATTTTGCGCTTTAAGATATATACAATAAAAGAACTACTTGACCCGCTCCAATATGCACAAGACCATCCTTAGGATAAATATTGAACAGCCCCTAAATATGCATAAAAAACATTTCTTTGCAAAAATCTCATGAAAATCCATTTGCCATTCAAGTTCAGTCAAGTCATGAATTGTCGCTTTTCAAAGTAAATCCATGAATATTGAGGGTAAAAATAACATGTAACGGAAAATCTTCCTTGTTTGTATTTTCAATCTACGTCGTTTACATGTCTATAGACCCCCTCCTTTACCATGTCTATAGACCCCCTCCTTTACCATGTCTATAGACCACCTCCTTTACCATGTCTATAGACCCCTCCTTTACCATGTCTATATAGAACCCCTTCTTTACCATGTCTATAGGGCCCCTCCTTTACCATGTCTATAGACCGCCTCCTTTACCATGTCTATAAACCCCCTCCTTTACCATGTCTATAGACCCCCTCATTTACCATGTCTATAGACCCCTCCTTTACCATGTCACAAAACTAAAACAAATGATTAAAAACCTGAGTGCCAAGACTTTCGTTTACAAAAGCTATATCATTTGACCACGCAGGCATTCAAAAATACCATTTATCCTTCTCACTCTTAACCAACATTGCATACATTTCTCTTTAAGGGCATACGATACAGTTTTGATCCCGTAATGAAATTTTGATGAAAATTTGCATATAGGCTATTTTTTACCTGATTAAATCAAATATGTAATAAAAAATATACCATCATGTGCTACTTTTTGAGTAAATTGAGGTTGAAATTTCAGATATTTCCTCAAAATTTGGATTTGTGGACGTATTTTTCCTTTCGACAGAAATACATAACTTTTTTTGTTTTAAAAGATAAACACAAGCTGTTTTTTGTTAAATTATAATAATAATTTGTAATTTCTGTTTTATATAATTGTTCTATAAATTTGTACATTTTATTTTTACAAATAACTCATATTTATCAAATGTTCATGAATGTAGAAAAAAAAACGTCATTTTTTGCTGTATATTTATCAAATTTAAAATAATTGCACTATTGACTTTTTCATGAAAATTGGTACACATAATCTTCATACGTAATAAACCAAATGTCATTTTAAAAAAGAGGGGTCCATGAACTCGTTTTCAAGTTAAATCAGTTTGAATGATAAAAATCAGTCAAAAACTGCATCATTTCCCGATAAGTCAATTTACGTTAGCAACGTCATTACCTCCCCTGTAACTGTATCTATGTGTGTGCCTGCTGCACAATTATGCTTTGTTGTCAAATCATAATTCCCCAAGTAAAAAAGTACCAAAGTATATTGCTTTTGATAAAAAGTTCTACCCATGTATGCTTTGTAAAGTGATGTCAATATATGTTTTACTGTGTTTGTTCTTCACTGAAGTCATAGACGGTAAGGAAAAACATGAAATTTCTATATAGATCCGGAGCAAAAAAGTATTCCAAATTTAGAAAAATAATATGAAGAACGCCGCGTTTAATAACATATTTCATATATCGTTTAAATAACAGGCAAAAGTAGGCTGAGATACGACATTTCAATAAAGTATATGCTAATAGAAATGAAAATATCCTATTTATCAAAAGAATAGCAGCACTTCAGGAAAATATTGAAATATAAAGTGTATATCCCACCAAAACAAACGTTATAAATTTAATTCGAATTAATAAAGTGGTTTTGGAGAAGTAAAATTGACATCGACCTAAAGTTAAAAAAATCCATTTTATTTGTATTCCATTTGCCCATTTTCAATGTGTGAGTTTTACTGTAAAAACATTGTTTTGATTTTAAATCAAGTTAAATTGTTCTAAAGATATGACTGATATTATGTCATTGTTAGACTCTCTACGAGTGATCTAACTCTCGTATCTAAAAATATTAAACTCTCAATTTTAATTTCTGATTCCTTTTTTTACATAGCTGCTTCTTTAATTTTTTATCAACAAACAGTAGGACAACCGGAAGTTCATTATAAGTAAAATGTGATTATGTCGTGCTCAGTAGTAGCTACGCCCTATACAACCTATACAGATAAATACATTTTGCTCGAAAAGTAAATTTTAACAAGTACTAGTATGCAAATACGCATGTGCAAAATTTGTTCCTTTCTTGTCCTTCAAAATAGAAATATGTATATTTACTCTCAAATAGAGTGTATTTCAAGTCAAACTTAAGGAAACAGGAGTGCACACGCTGAAATGTCTCGCCTGTTTTATTATTCATGATTTATTCTATGTTGATAGTCCTAAAGATCAAGATTTACTACAAGGATCACATAAACTTAACATTATCAATGATCCATGAAAATAAGGTCAAGGTCTGATAAACCAAGCCGGACAGACATATACACCTTACAATCATTACATACACTAAAATAGTTGACATATTGCTTAAAGTATACAAGAAACAGACCAAACTATTAAAAAATCAAATTGACCAATGAACCATGAAAATTAGGTCAAGGTCAGATGAACCCTGCCAGACAGACCTGTACACCTTACAATCATTCCATACACCAAATATAACTGACCTACTGCTTACAGTATCTGAGAAACGGACCTAATCAAGCAACTTTATTATTGATCAATGAAATGACGTAGAGTTCAGGTGAATCATGTCTGATGAACATGTAGACCTTGCAATGAACCTATATACCAAATACAGTTATCCTATTACTCATAATAAGATGAGAAATTTACATAACAAAAATACCAAACTTCTGTTTCAAGCAGTCGCTTAACTATGGAAATAAGGTTAAAGACAATGGACGTATGACAGACGTAAACTCCATAAATTAAAGCATTAGTATACAACGTATGAAGCCTCCTGGTCTACTACCCTATGAAATATAACTCAATACAAATAGTTTACGCCGCCGCCGGATTGAAATCCTTATATCTCGCATTCTGCGACAAATCGCAAGCGAGACAAAAAACAGTTCCGAGTCACAAATACATAAAATGGACCGTTAGCTTATTCAGCGTACTTCACATCTCATCCTTTTAAAATCAACACAGTGACAAAATACAGATTCTTTATTAAAAGTAAAGTTTATAAATGGCAATGATTATGCATAATAATAATTAATATACTTTGTAACATTCTATCTAATTAAGAAATGACGAATATGCATGATGGCGTACGTATAATTTTATCAGAGTATAGAAAATTAGTATAGAACGAGTCAATATAAAAACTGTGATAAATCATGGTGACAGTTTCGGTTTCTTTTCAAAAAAAAAAAACAGAATAGTATTTCCAAACATAAGAAATGCAGTCCGGTTATAAATTGTGCGTTTTTTTATACATTAAAAAAGAATTCAGGAAGCTTCAATGAAGTTATGAAAGGTAAAATTACGAAAACAAAGACATTCAATTAAATTCAAAATTTGAACATCTTTCAATGACAGTAATTTAGCATTATCAACAGACAAAAATATGGAAAAGGGTGTAAAATAATGTAAAAATAAATCAGTTTAAGATCTTCTCTACACAAGCTCCTCTGCTCACCATGTGGATATCCTTGCTTTCTTTCCTGAAATGAAAATTGTGGAATATAACACATGCCAATGAAAATTCTAGTTATAACTTGTCTGGCAATTATAATCTTACCTTGACCTCATTTACATGGTTCATTCGTCAATGTTAAGTTTTTGTGTTTTGGTCTGTATTTCAACTACCATATGCAATATAAAAACTATTTTTGGTGTATGGAACAATTGTAAGGTGTACATGTCTGTCTGACAGGATTTATCTGACCTTGACCTCATTGGCATTGTCATTGGTCTTTAAAAATGTTAAGTTCATGTGATACTTGATCAGGGACATTCCGTTTTGAATTTTCTTTGGAGTTCGGTATCTTTGTTATTTCATTTTTGACCATTTTTTAATGAAGTAAAATACCTAGATGCAATTCCGTACGATTTTTTTTTTACAATAAAAAACTAACGAGAAATGAGTAAACGATCGATATTCAATTTCATATTCTCTCTGTTTCGCATCTGGTACAGTAAAATTGGTATCGTTAATGTTAATCGTTGATAAACTAATTCGTAGCTGTCTTTTTATTTGTTTGCATCATTATAGATGAGAAAAACACGACTTAATTTTGTAACACCAAAATATTCTCCCTTGCACGTTTCTCTCAGACATTCTTGCCTTTAACATCAGATCAAGTAATGTATCTGTTTAACATATCTGAGGTACAATTTTATCTTTACATAACGTTATTAAATGTATACGAATGTGATTCCACTTTTTTATGAACCAATAATCAATCAATCCACTGGTTCATGAGTTTCTTTACATTGATGAGTAATTAGTACTTCATGTATATATGATATACGATTGTGTCGTCACAGAATCAGACTTATCACCGGATTTGTACTTGCGTCATCAACATGACGGGTGCAACATGTGGAGCATGAACAATTTACTCTTCTTGGGGACATGAGTTCATCCCGGGTTATTAGAGGGGATTGTGTTGCTCAGTCTTTATTTTTGTGGGGATTGTGTTGCTCAGTCTTTAGTTTTGTGGGGATTGTGTTGCTCAGTCTTTAGTTTTGTGGGGATTGTGTTGCTCAGTCTTTAGTTTTGTAGGGATTGTGTTTCTCAGTCTTCAGTTTTCTTGTAGTGTTTTGTGGACTTTTTCGTGTTTTTGCTTTTTGCCATAGCTTTGTCAGTTTTTTTTACTGATGAGTTTTGAATGTACCCTTGGTATCTTCCGACTTTTTTTGTATTTGATGTCATAGTGACAATCAGCTGTCAAACAAGTTGAGTCTCAAAGTAATCTACCTTTAAAAAGCTTAACAACGAAAAGTGAATGTAGCTATCACTTGAGGTAGACAGTCAAAATATTTAATGTACACTCTCTGGTGATGGTCAAACGTCAAACTAAACTATTTTAATCAATAGACTTCGATGATTTATAAAGATGGTTTACCACCTGCGAGTTATGATTGATTGTGTTTTGCTTCTTTTCTTTGGTAAACACTGCATGCATATTCAGGACGAGAACAATTTAACTTTTGTGGCGAGCAATCTTTATGAAATAAATTAACTTGTAATGACATCCAAGTTATTTAGACATACATGAACGTGTGTTTTACATATACTTATATTAGTAGTAAGCAGTTTTTGTGACATTCAACAAAGTTTGGTAGTGAAGTGTTTTTGACATACACAGATCAACCTAGTAAAAGTGAATTATATAACATTAGCAACTACATCACCCAGGGGTTTCCCTTTAAGCTAGACATCAAACTTTAAATACTAACACACACTGTGGTAATGGAAATTTCCATTTCCACTCCAAAAATTAAAGAGAGACAAACGTAGCTAAAGAAAGTGAAATGATTGGTTCCTGTACCATTTTCACTTTATAGAATTTCAATTAAAAATATAAACTTTCTGTAGCCTCACAAAAACTTACTTGCACATTTCTTCCATCAACAAACATCTGTTTTGATATGTTTTTCCATCATTACCACAAATTTCTCTTTTATAATCCGGGCATTTTCTGTTCTCTCTTTTCTTGCAAAATGAACTTTCGTGATTAGGATGTTGTTTGTTGCCTCTAGCGAAAGGTTTAGGTCCGTGTCCAGGTCTTCCTAAACCTCTGTGTATTTTCAGATGACCTTTTCGTTCGTTATCCTTCTTGTCCAATCCGTGAAGGTCAAAAGGCTTCATATGTCCTCTTCTTTGGTTCCTGTATTTCTGTATGAATTGGTGTAGACGTCTTCGTTCAAACATTTTGTGTTTACCCATATAGTTTTTCATTGAATTGCGTCTAGAAAACTTGCCCGCCATATGATTTTTTGATGATTTTCTTTTTTCAGACGATCTATCATTCTTTTTTTGAATTTTATCCCGGATGTGTTTGTGTTTTATGTTAACAAGATGTTCGGGGTGTCGTTTGTCTTCTTTCTTAACATTATCAACATGCTTTTTCTTTCGTTCTTCTTTCTCTGTTTTAACTTGGTGCCATTTTGTGTCGGGATTGCTAAATCTTTCCCACTTATCTACGTACTTCTTAAACTTCCTTTGTACATTTCCCGTTGGTGAACGTGGGCTGTGTGGACCTTGTACATTTTCTTTTTCATCGCGTGATACTGTCTTTTTATTTGGACCAAAGTGCTTTCGTTTTGAATGGTTTTCATGGTCTGATTTAAGACAAGTAACTGAAAAAGATAAGCATGTACTTTTTACTGTAGAATAACTCAAATCTAAACAAAAAAATATGGCGGCTCGGCCATTCACAAAACTAGATAAAACTACCACATTTAGCAATGTATCTATGTAAGAGAAATAAATTATATCATATTATATTATTAAGCTATATTTCATTCAATGTATATATGAATAATTATGATGTCAGAAACAATTTCAAAACTGTAAAATTAACCATTACACTTATCCCATGTCCAGAGTTTCATCATATGTTTTCATTTCATTTATAAGGGATTTTTTTTTATTAATTGCAGTATTCTGGCAGTCATTACATGTATACACTCGGGCGATTTAGAGGAACGTCCAATAGCAATTATTGAATGAAAATAAATAAATTGATTGATTGTTTTTTTCCTAACTTCCAGTGGCAAATATTTCATGCATATTCAGTATTAGGATAAATTAAGAATAAATCCAATATGTACGTTCTGCAAAGATGGTCGACCGAGAGTAAGAACGAGGATCACTTTCAAATATTATTGAAAAATTAGGGGATGTTGGATAAGAGAAGAAATTTCGCCTTGCTGTTATGGAAATATACCTTCTCTCGACTGGTATTTTTACAATACCCATCCTAAACATAATAATTTTATGTGTTCAGCATCTCATCCTTTTATATTACAATTATCCTAAAATATACGGGGCTAAAGAATTCAAATCTATGAACTATGTCAGTTCAGTTTATGACAGGCAGTGTAATTTGGCATGAAACAAATTAGAAAGTGGTGTCTTATTTCAAAATTCGTATATACTTTATATATATATATTACTTTAAACGTGAATGGCTTTTTAATGATTTAATTTACGTCAAGGTCTGTTGACCGAAAATGTATTAAAACGATTTCAAAGGATTTAAATCAACCGTTACAAATGGTGTCTGGCGGTATTTAAGAGTCTAAACAAAAATATATTACGTCAAATATCGTGTAGTCGTGAATTATGTTTATTTGTGTAACATGTGTAAACATGATTGGTTATATTACTCTTGCTTCTATTATCGATAGATCGTATTTTCTTCAAATTCATCTATTTAAATGTGGATGAAAGCTTTCTTCTATCTAGTATACATAAGTATGTAACTAGTTATTCTAGTAATTACAAGGAAACATCTTTATGTCAACAACACGTTTAAAATGGATATTCATTCATTCATTCATTCATTCATTCATTCATTCATTCATTCATTCCAAATATACCTTTAGTCAAAATCATAACTAAATAACAATACTATGAAATGTTATACTGTTAAGGGATACAATCGCCATTTTTTTACTCTACAACAGAATTTAGTACAAGTGTTTTATTTTGTAATCTTTTTGGGTTCCTTCTTCACAGCTGCACATAGTTAACTGAATATATTATTTTGGGTAACCTTGAGGAGTGCACTTCCCTCACACACTCCATCGTATCTGTTCGTATACCAGTATACAGATTAATAGAACGATTATATAATTTGTCGTAAATAACCTTTTCTAACGTTGGACTTTGTTCCCAAATAAAAACCGAACAATCCTATATTTCAAGTGGCATAGAAGACAGCTCAGTTGACTATCAACTGATCAACTGTTAATGGACGCAATCAACACACCTTAGATTCTGGATTTCAGAATTGAATAAAATTTGTGTTATTTTTGTTTTCTCTTTTATGTGTCCTTCCCAGCTGTACATAATTGACTAAAGTTATGTTGTCACAGTTTTTCCTATTTTATCAACTTTAGAGGCGATCGTCCCTCATGCCCATTTACATCTTTACCATATCTGTTCGTTTTCAGATTAACAGTTGATCAGTTGATAGTCAACTGAGCTGTCTTCTATGCCACTTGAAATATAGGATTGTTCGGTTTTTATTTGGGAACAAAGTAATACATAACATGTCATAAATCTTATTTTTTCTACTTTTTTGGGGACTTTGTTCACAGATCTAGCAAAAAATAAAATCAAACAATTCTATATTTCAGTTAAATAAATTTGGAGAGTTGTCTTCCACATCTTCTTATATATATTCGTAAAATTAGCCTACCTATGTCTAGAAGAATAATTAATCCAACTAAAAGAATCAACTTCATTCTGATTCTTTTTTCCGGGTAAATACTTCCACCTGTACACAATAGTTAATCCGTCCTTTCTTCAAATATACAGGTACGAACAATATCTATCTTTAAACCCTCAGGCGATATAGGTGTGCAAGTAATGTCAATAAGAGGCATGACAAATTAAACACAATGTGAGCAATTTAAATTTAGACATTTTGTCATATATACCTTACTTGTCAGAACATCGAATCTAAACTTGGTTCAAAATGGTTACTTCCATCTTTGTTATATGATACAAAACTGACCTCAAATTAGCTTACATGTACAAATTTTATTACGACCGATATTTTGACTTTTTTTTTGAATTCATAAAACTTATATTGTATTCTCTACAAACAAAGAAGTTTCAGTTCAAGAATATCCATAGAAAGACAGCATAATATAATTTGTCGAATACATTTTCATTCAACTGAATTGGCAACATCTTTCCAATATGATACAGTTTACGCCAAATTGAGTCAGACACAGCCCTCTGTGTAAAGGTACAAAATCTCCCACAACACTGGGTAATAACCACCGCTGATGGACTTAAAAATACTTCAGCGGTTCATTTGCGCAGTAAATATGGACTGATACCACCAAAAAGATAAATTTTACTAAAGCTAAACTCTAGTGGACATATGTGTTTTTCTAACTTTTATTGCTTATGCTTACATGTATAATTTGATTTGCCATGTTTGTGCTGTGCTTACTTTTATGTGTGCCTCCTCTATTTTTAGTTTGCTTGCTTGATTGTGTTTTTATGTTTTTGTGTTTTGGTGTTGTTGTTGTTGTTGTATATGATTGTATTTATTTGGTTAAAAGCTCTTTAGAGCATATATTTGTAGTTTATAACTATATTGATTATCAATAAAGCTTTCATATTTGTATTCGTAATCTCTGTTCTTAATATTTTATATTTAAATGTATATAAATGGCTGGATAAACTTTTCGATTTGATCAAGCAGGTATTAGTTGATTACATAAATGCATTTTTTATATACATGTGTATACTTAATCCAGCTTCAAGCATTTTGTATAGCTTCTGACAGAAGTGTGCCATTCCACGGAATTCTTTCCAAATAGAACCTAAGTCCTTCTGTTTTTCATGGAGATGTTAATATTTTTGTCTCTGACATTTACAGTCATTAGATTTTTAAAAGTCACATGATCTGACAAAACTGAGTCTTTAAAGTTCACAATGGAGATAGAACAGTGATTTTGCTGTCTCTTTCAGTTGTTTAAGTCATCATCAGTTAAGTTTTGTGTAATAAGAATTATAGAGCTTCGGATATATTCCTTGTTTTTTTTTAGTACTGTTTGATATACCACGATCACATGTCCAATATAAAATTTTCAAAGGTTGATGCGTAATATGAGCATTTCGAAAGGAGGTATGGTTGTATTTCCCAACAGGGCCATTTTCGAGAAGTCTTTCAATCTTTATTAAAATTTACACTATCTAAGAATCATGTGTGTACTTTAAGGTTTTAACAAGATTGGTGGATTTTAGTCAATAGAGCATTTAATATATATAATCTCTTATATATTAGAAGTCTATTTGGTTTTAATAACTTTCGGATTTTGTTTATTTGAGTGCAACAGGAGAAATTGGTCCCACCTCTTTATTTCTCGTTAGATAACTGACAGGAACATCAGGAGGGTAACATTAGAATCTAACATAACTGACAGGAACATCAGGAGGGTAGCCTTAGAATCTAACAAAACTGTCAGGAACATCAGGAGGGTAGCCTTAGAATCTAACAAAACTGTCAGGAACATCAGGAGGGTAGCCTTAGAATCTAACAGAACTGACAGGAACATCATGAGGGTAGCCTTAGAATCTAACAAAACTGTCAGGAACATCAAGAGGGTAGCCTTAGAATTTAACAAAACTGTCAAGAATATCAGAAGGGTAACCTTAGAATCTAACAAAACTGTCAGGAATATCAAAAGGGTAACTTTAGAATCTAACATAACTAACAAGAACATCAGGAGGGTAACCTTAGAATCTAACAAAACTGCCAGGAACATCAGGAGGGTAGCATTAGAATCTAACAAAACTGTCAGGAACATCAGGAGGGTAACCTTAGAATCTAACATAACTGACAGGAACATCAGTAGGGTAGCCTTAGAATCTAACAAAACTGTCAGGAACATCAGGAGGGTAGCCTTAAAATCTAACATAACTGACAGGAACATCAGGAGGGTAGCCTTAGAATCTAGAAAAACTGTCATGAACATCAGAAGGGTAGCCTTAGAATCTAACAAAACTGTCAGGAACATCAGGAGGGTAGCATTAGAATCTAACAAAACTGTCAGGAACATCAGGAGGGTAACCTTAGAATCTAACATAACTGACAGGAACATCAGTAGGGTAGCCTTAGAATCTAACAAAACTGTCAGGAACATCAGGAGGGTAGCCTTAAAATCTAACATAACTGACAGGAACATCAGGAGGGTAGCCTTAGAATCTAGAAAAACTGTCATGAACATCAGAAGGGTAGCCTTAGAATCTAACAAAACTGTCAGGAACATCAGGAGGATGACCTCAGAATCTAACATAACTGACAGGAACATCAGAAGGGTAGCCTTAGAATCTAACAAAACTGTCAGGAACATCAAAAGGGTAGCCTTAGAATCTAACAAAACTGTCAAGAACATCAGAAGGGTAACCTTAGAATCTAACAAAACTGTCAGGAACATCAAAAGGGTAACCTTAGAATCTAACAGAACTGTCAGGAACACCAGGAGGGTAGCCTTAGAATTTAACAAAACTGACAGGAAAATCAGGAGGGTAGCCTTAGAATCTAACATAACTGACAGGAACATCAGGAGGGTAACCTTAGAATCTAACATAACTGTCAGGAACACCAGGAAGGTAGCCTTAGAACCTAACATAACTGTCAGGAACACCAGGAGGGTAGCTTTAGAATCTAACATAACTGACAGGAACATCAGGAGGGTAACATTAGAATCTAACATAACTGACAGGAACATCATGATGGTAGCCTTAGAATCTAACAAAACTGTCAGGAACATCAGGAGGGTAACCTTAGAATCTAACATAACTGACAGGAACATCAGGTGGGTAACCTTAGAATCTAACAAAACTGTCAGGAACATCAGGAAGGTAACCTTAGAATCTAACAAAACTGACAGGAACTTCAGGAGGGTAACCTTAGAATCTAACAAAACTGTCAGGAACATCAGGAGGGTAGCCTTAGAATCTAACATAACTGACAGGAACATCAGGAGGGTAGCCTTAGAATCTAACAAAACTGTCAGGAACATCAGGAGGGTAGCCTTAGAATCTAACAAAACTGTCAGGAACATCAGGAGGGTAGCCTTAGAATCTAACAAAACTGTCAGGAACATCAGGAGGGTAGCCCTGGAATCTATGAAACTGACATCTTTTTGTCAGCTGAAAAAATAAATTATCAAAGTATTATCACTCCTACCCAAAATAACTGACTATATATCGGGATTTTGAGCACCGAAGAACGTGAATGCCATCAGTATATATTACAAGATACTATTAATGTTGTAGAAATTTCAAAGATTAAGTTCTCGTGTATGTTGCTCGAAACCAAATATTGAAAAACCAAAGGTTCAAATTGTTGAAGACCTAAAATAGCAAAGAAAAGGGATAACTAAACCAGTGTAGAAACACGAGTACATCCGGAGGATATCTTAGAAGTTAACAAAATTTATATCTTTTCGATAAATTGGCATATAAAACACAGGTGCAATGTATTAAAAAAATGTTCAACTTTAATCAAGATATATATTGATTTGAAACATCGGAATAGTTTTATGAATTTCTTATGACGTATCATCCAATTATTAGTCCCGAGAAGGAATAAAATATGTACATATTTATATTAGTGTCCTGCAGCAGAACATTGACAATTTAATAAATATAGGCCATTATATTTGCCCTCGTGATAAAAAAAAATTGTCAAACCTTTGATTTAAATTCAGCAATTATTGTACATAAGTAAAGGTAATTTGCCTCTCAGCAGTGTTAATCGTATGTTCAGTTCTAAAGGTGGTTTGTGACGTGTATCACTTTAGTCTGTACAGTTATTTATCATTATGATAGTCCAAAAGGCTATATTCTATGTCAACCCCTCGACTACCTAAACGGCTGAAACTTTTCTGAACCTTCACTACTTTCTATTGAAATTAAAGGAATTTAAAATCATACATTTCGCCATTTTAGGTCGATACCGTTGAAACCTTATTTTTATATTTCATAAAATGTGTGGTCTTAAGCAGACTGTAAATTCTGATGTACAGATTAAATATATATATAAATGATATTAATTGAAACCATAGGATATATACATACTATCAAATAAATACCACTATTTTGATGACACAGACGTAAAAAATATACCCCTTACTTTGATAATATATTACTGAAAGCTTCATATGCAATGAGACTATTTAAAAGAAAAAAAGATTATAGATGTCCATAGAAGCAAAATTTTAGCAAATCATTTCAAAATTGCATAATCATTTTAAAATTGTCTTTAACAGCAATGTATATATATATATATATAGCGCTATTTACATTTTGATTTAATGGATGTATGTAAAATTAAAAGTTCCCAATGAAACCTATGGAAAATTATGTTTTCCTAATCTTCCCTTTATCTACTTTTCCAATTTCTAAAAACTGTACAGGAATAATGTTGGGAAGGTCTTTGCTTCTGATTGACTAATTTTCAAAAATGTTATCCTCTGAAACTAAAACTCGAAATGTTTTAAAACTCTAGAGGATTTATGATATGAAGACCCTTTACAAAAAAATCTTTAAACAAAAAATGATCGGATGGCACACATGACAGAATATGTGGCACATAGTTACGGTTGAAACGTATTGAAAATAAATTTTCATTATCTACTCTGAAACTACTTAGATTCTTTTTACTTAGCTTATGATTTGCAGACCCTGTACAAACGATCCTCAAATAAGGAATGCCGGATAGAGTGACAAACATGGCGGCATTGGTGGTATACAGTTTCAATCGAAACCCTATGGAAAACGTATTTCAACGTCTCTGAAACGACTGGACCAGTTATAATCAAATTTTGTAGGAATGATGTATAGAAGGTCCTCTACAATGTTTCTACTTCCATGTTATCGTAGGAAACAGAATATTGAAGGTGAATGGTTTATTAAATATAAATCTCAAACTAAAGAAAAATATGAAATTTCGCACATTTTCTGAAGCGTATAAGGGACATAGTAAAAATAAAATTGACATTGAACTTTATTTTCAATGTCAAAATTTTGACATTTAAAATTTTCAAATTTCGACTTTAACTCGAAATTTCAACTTTTCAAATCTTGAAATTTTGATTTAAAAATATTGAACTTTCGCCTTTTAAAAAAATCGAAATTCTGACTTTTTCAAACTCAAAATTTCGACTTTTCCTCAGTATCTAAACGTTCGCGATTGCCACATTTATGGTCATTAATAACAGTAAGATGAGACATATGTACATCATAAACTTAATGAGCATTTCTTAATAACGAGACCATTTTACTCTAATTTTTTCACAACTTGAATATAGATTTGAAGAGGTTACTTTAGATAGAAAATCTTTTTTGCAGAAAAATAAATTAAAAATGTTTCATGTACAAATATCTACTTCAAGTCTGGACTTCAGATATGCGGATCAAGGCAGCCCCGTTATTTCGACACACCTATATTACGCCATACTTCTATTCATCAGATTAAAAACTTATAAAATAATAATAAAAAATAAATCATAAAGACAAGGCTTAATAAATGTGTCATTAGAATGCCAACTTTATGTGTAAAATCAATGTTCCCCAAAAAAGAATCAACGTTTCAACATTCCAAAACTCGAAAATAAACTTATCAGCTCACGAGTCGTCCTGAATATGCATGGCATATTTGCCACTTGATTTACCATTATGTAAACAAGTCAAAGTAAGTGATTAGCTTTTGGGAAGCCAAACAGGCCTTTAAAACCAACCATAAAACATGAGATGCAAAACGTCCTCAGATCTGATGATCCTATGACAGTAACATGGAATATGGGGAAACAACCCGGCATTTTTTCCCTGTTAACATACATGTTCTTTCCGAAGTAAAGTAAAAGTTTTTACATTTGAAATTTAAAATTTCGACTTTAACTCGAAATTTTAACTTTTCAAATCTCTTGAATATAAATGTTAATTCATTTCATAATTCAAGAACAATTTCTGAACATATATTCCCAAAATGTAGGTATGACGCTTTAGTAATTTGTGTCCATGTCTCCTCCTTCAGATAACTAGGTTTTAATACTGTTGTCAAAGTTTTAATACTTAGAAAAAAGTGAAAATTTCGAGATTTAAAAAGAGGAAATTTCGAGTTTTAAAAAATGGAAATTTCGAGATTTTAAAAGGCAAAATTTTGAGTTTAAAGTCGAAATTTCGAGATTTAAAATGTTGAAATTTTGAGTTTAAAGTAAAAATTTCGAGTTTAAAAAAGTAAAAATTTCGACTTTTAAATCAATGTTTTTCAAGTTTTAAGTTTATGAAAAAAGTTCGATGTCAATTTTATTTTTACTTTGTCCCTAATACGCTTCCTTATTACGGATTTATCATCGGTGCTGCGGTTCTTTGCTTTTGCGCCAATTGGCAATTCATTTGCGCCAAAATAATCTTTCATTTGCGTCACAAACCATATTTCATTTGCGCCAAAATAAAACATTTCATTTGCGCCAATAATACAGGTAAATAGTATAAAAATAGTTTTATTCAAAAGAGACTTTTAATAATAACTTTAAAACACAGTTTTTGATTGCATGATAAAACATATTCCTCCGAAATCAGTCATCGTAACCATAATGAAAGCACTATACACTGATACGTCGTTCTTAATAAGAGACTTTTCTTAATAATGTTAAAACACAGTTCTGTTATAAACTTACGAGATCATAAAAACTAAAAGAAAGCACTATACACTGGAGTTAAACCAGAAGTTTGTTCTGACAAAAGACTTGCAAGCAACGGCTCGGATGTACTCATTTACCCTGGAAAACCTATATGTGTGGTCATAAAAAAATACAGACTTATTTCCTCTATATACAAATAAGGAGATGTGGTATGATTGCCAATGAGACAACTATCCGCCAAAGTTCAAATGAAGTGGATGAAAGCCACCATAGACAACCGTACGGCCTTCAAAAACCCATTCCCTATAGTCGGCTATACACGGTCCAACATGATAAATATGAAACAATCCAATTCTGAGAAAACTAACGGAAACTAACTCAAACTGTCCATCTTGACACCTCAAATATGTGAACACTACATAATTTCAAACCTAAGTGGCTCTCAGTTTTAAATTAAAAAAATAAGTATTAACTTACTTAGTTAACCAGGGGGAATACTTAAAAAAAATCTTATTCACGATGTAGCAATGAATATTTTAAACTTTTCCGTTATATGTTACCTGTAAAATGGCGCAAATGTAGTTTTTATTTTTTGGCGCAAATGTAATGCGCCTATTTATCATTTCTTTCATCGGAATACCTCTACCTGTGTAAGTGGTGGAAACCCCACCAAAAGCCTAGCTAGAAGCAATGTTAATGTAAATGAATTTTAATAAATATATTGATGCACCAAATCAGAGACATATAATACAATTATGTATTATATGTCTATGACCAAATCCTGCAGGTTCAAACGAAATAGATGTATCACGTTTTTGAGTCACCTGGCATTTTCTTTCCAAAAATATGCAAAATCGTGATTTTAAAAATAGTTTTAATCACACATTAATCTTAGAAAAATAATTCATTCATTTCAATATTTTTATCCGATTTGTTCGCTAAATCCTCATGTAGGATATTTCTACATTGTCTACGTTACTAAATGTGTTTTCTTTTACTTAAATCGCTTAAAAAGAGAAAGAAAATACCGATGAGGCAATCAAAAACCGTAAGTCCTTTTCAATCAGACAACGCCATTGTCAAATGGACAAACAACGATAAGACCAACAACAGTTCACAAAACAAGACATAGAAAACAAAAAGTGAGCAACACGAAAAATACCAAAACCGGGGCTAACTCATGCAGGTGATCAGGTAGGTTCAACGGTTCTGCTCCGCTAGTGACACCCACCATGCTACTCCTGTTAAAATACGTTTATTACACTTTTGCCTATATGAAATTATTAAACAGTGTAACTTGAAATCATAATTTGTTGCAGTTTAGCTTCTACTAATTGAAATTGGTACGGTTTGTTAAGTTTCTGCCTAATTAAATTTCTTTTGAAATACTTTAATGATTTGGAATCGCTGTGTATTTAGGAGTAAAGTTTATTTTAACTTTGGAGATGAAATTGCCAAGTTTCCTCTTTACTGCTGATTTGGCAATATTCTCTGTTTATAAATTTGGTTTTGAAT